GAGGAGCCGGCTGCTAATGCTATGTACCGGGACACTGCTAATGCTGCTGCCGGGATACAGCTGAGGAGGAGCCGGCTGCTAATGCTATGTACCGGGACACTGCTAATGCTGCTTGCCGTGCTGCTGTAGCTCAGTCGTAACTCTAACTGATGCTGAGACTCTACTGACTGCGTGACTGATAGACGGCGGTGGGTGGCGCAACAGGCCAAAACACAAATTCAAAACATAAACATGATTTGCGGACCGTAAATTTTTTTTTTAAATGCGAATATTCTGGCCGTACTATTGTTGTCAGTGAGATCAGTATGTTATATGAACATTATTCCTTAGTCTCTGTGACATATTAGGAGGATTTTATGACTATTTACTTTAGATTTCTTACATATAGCTCCTTTAAGTAACTTGTAACTAAAGCTGTCAGATGATTGAAGTGGAATAAAAAGTATGATATTTCCTAGTGGAGTAGAAATATAATGTTAATAAAATGAAAATACCAAAATAAAGTACAAGTGCCTCAGATTTTACTTAAGGGAATACTTCATTGGTGATTCTGAACGAACCCTTTAAAACACCAAAGTTTCACAATAACACAAACTAACTAATCAAGGCAGCGGTAGACCATCAGTTCCCATGTTCAGCAAGGTAAAATTACTGTTATGTCATTATAGTCTGGCTCTGAAGAGAGCATACATGAGCTTAATGTTTTGTTCAATTCCCTGTTGGAAAAAGCTGTCAGTTTGGGAAGCACTGAGCATACGACTGGACAAATCAAACTTGGACTATACTGCATGAGTTGTGTGAGAGTTTGTAAATGGAGGTTTTGATACAGTTTTACTGTTGTTAAACATGGACCCCTATGACTTCAATTCACCAAGAACTTTATCAGTTTTTGGATTCTTCGTTCACTGTTGAGGCACACGCCTAAACAAATTTTTCTTTATGAGTTCAATGTAACATGGGGTGAGTGAATGACATACAAATTGTAATCTAGGGAGGTTAGTATTCTTTTAAGTACAGTACTTGACTTAATGTACTTGCATTCCACCACTGTCATTAACACATCAGCACTATCGCTGTTACATCTTCCTGACAAAATATAACAATACAAAAGAATGACAGTCTGTTCCAGCTCTTCCTCTGTTCCCAGCCAATAACTGAAAGCAAAACCAAGTTATTGTGACGGCATCATTTCCAGCTGCTCAGCGCCTGGAGCACAGTGGCCCAGTGACAGTTCATCTGCGATCATGAATCAGGGTTTTGGGCCGCGCTATTTCCAGCAATTAAACCCCTTTGCTTTGAAATACAAAAAGAACAACAGTCTGAGCTGATGTCCACATGAATGCATCACATTTACTAGCAGACCATCTGATGGACTTTCCCTTCCTCATAACTTCCAGGCAGACACACGGCTGCTGTGCACATTTGGAGACATTCACTTTCTAGATCCTCAACTACAAACTGTCTGCTACTGTTTTGTGCCTTTCCCTCGGTCACGATAAATGATGTGAACCTCCAGTAAGGGAACTGCTGAAAGTCCCGTCGACAGAAAACAGGGCAGATTGCTTGCCCTGAATGCATGGCCTCATATTTCACGCTCTCTGGGGGTGCAACTGCTCCATTAGCAACAGTTGCCAAGGAGGAGCAATTGGTTTTCTGACCTGTCAATCAATCACAAACTCACCCTATCAAGGACTCTTCTCCCAGTTGGCTTCCGCCTTCCACCATTGCCTGGGATAGTGCAGTCAGAGGAAGCTTTTTCTGTGGTGCATGAGTGGAAGAGGGACAGATGCAGACAATTATTAGACTTATACTGAGACATAAACGACTTCAATCTATGCAGGTGCACAAAAAGTACCCAAATTCTATACAGCAGCTTCAGTTTTTGATGTTGAAGGCAATGGAAAATTCATCAGGGACTTTCCATTGAGCGGTAAATTCACAGTCAGGAAGAGGAAGAGAGCTTTCGGAGCAAAGGAGGAAAATACAGACGTTAAAATGGGATTTAAGATGCAAACTAGGGAAGTGAGACATCTATCAAATGACAGCACCGGAGCTTGTTTTTACAGTAACACAGTTTATATCTGTACAAACATTTATGAGTGTGCAACATCCTGTTTTCTAACCAGAGAACCCCAAAGGCAAAGGTGTCATGCATAGAGAGTAAAGATGACAGATGTCTGAACGGGAAATGGAGCGAGTGGTTCTGAGGACCAGAGAAGTGGAGTACAGTAAGTAATCGGTGTTTTTTACCTGACCATTTCCTGTATAGAGGCGTGGTACAGACTGTGGTGCGTTTTTTGGGTGGTGTGGAGTAGAGAAAACAAAAGAGAAATCATAAACTGTAGGCCTAATATGGACACTTTGAATGAAGACATCTCAAAATTGCGTGGGAGGTGGTTTTAAGTTTCCCTCATCCTGGAACACTTGATACATCTGGTTATTTTGTTTTTAAAGGCAAATTTAAGCTTTGATAAATGTTTTAATATAACAAACTAGAGGTCTTACATGTCTCTTCTCTGCGTCTGCACCGATGTGTCCTTGTAGACATGACACCATCCTCTTGTGTGTGTTGTGGGACACCACACGCACCAACTCCATGCGCCGTTCAATCTGTGAGTGAGACAAAACAACAACAGATCTTAAGCAAATATCTTTTATACACATGTCATATGTCATCACAGAGCGAGGCAGCACAATGTAAAAACTGCAGGAATCGTTCACATAAGATAAAGGGGACATATTATGCTAATGTTTGGCTGCATACTTGTATTTAGGGTTTCTAATAGAGCATGTTTACATGCTTTAATGCACAAAAACACTTTATTTTCTTCATACTGTCTGTGCTGGAACACCTGTATCCACCCTATGTCTGAAACACACCATTTTAGTGCCTGTCTCTTTAAAGATATCCAATGCAGGATTTTCCTTAAACAATGTATACACTCACACACAAGTAATCCATCTCAATTATGACCCACTACAAGTATGTGGTGGTGTATTTTTCTGCACTTTGCCTGTATTTTAATACTGTCTTCTTGTTTTCTGTGTTTGGGATGTTTATAAGCGTGTATCCCCAGAACACTCAGAAGAGGTCGGGACTTTTTAAAAAGGTAGCGACCAGGGGCCAGACCGTAAGCAGCAGGCATCCAAGAGACACAGCACCACAAAAAAATGAATATAGCAAGGCAAAATACCAAACCAGAGTGAATCTGGGGTTGGGTTTTCTTTCAATTTTGCAAACAGCATCTAAAAACCCTGCAAAATTTACCTTTAAGGCCCCCTCCCGAAAAAGCCCAATCCGCTCTGAAACCAAAATCTTCACAACTGGACATGTTGTGAAGCAGAAATATGATCCGAAATCAGAGATATATTAACAACATCGCCAACCAAGATTACATACGTCCCTGGCAATAGCATGTCGCTACATGTAGCAGTGTAATGTAACCAGTTGACCATATAAGGAAATCCATCACAAGCTGACGTCAGCTTGTTGTAAAAGTTGAATACAATGTTGGAAACAGAGCATTCATAATAGTCTGAAGCCTGAGGTTTTTGCTCAAGTTTAATATGAACATCTGACATCAGATTATTATTATTTATTAGTGGAATTTTCAAGATGAAAACACCAACAACACAATATGTAAACCCTTGCATGTACACAAACTTAACTTTGATAAGCCTAAGTACTTGGACTGGACTACATCCTGCCGTGTTTGTTCCAGTAAGTACATGAAAACACACACATGGCGAGCAGACTTTATGACCACAACCACAGTGTCCCTATAAACCATCAAAACAGTGTGTCTGCAGTGTTGATGGCTGATGAGCTCCATCTCCATGCACAGATTTGATTAGTAGCTGCCTTGTAGGAGTCAGGGGTCAAAGTTCACGCATGATTGATAAGGCTTGTCCCTGCAGAACAACGCTGGAATGTTATCTTTGAAACACATGACTCATCGGAAGTGTCTCTATAGCAACAGCCACTGGGTTGTGACTGAGAGCGAGGGGGCTCTTTGGCTTTAAAAAGGCCTTTTTGATTACACAGGCTTTCTCCTGTCTGCTAGCCTAAAGACACAGATCCACTCTGTGCTTTTAGCCTGACAAGATATAATACGGTCATTGATGGGAGTCGCAGCTATTTTGGCTTCAGGACAGAGGCCAACTGAAACTCTGCAGGATGACTATTCACTGTCCTTGTCATGCCAGGTGCCTGACTGGGACAGTCAGTGTAAACGTTAGGCTGGCTGTCACCACCCCATGAATAGAACTGATGATTGCAAGTTACTGTTGGGAGTCCGCTTGAAAGTCTGATGATGCAAAGAACTGGTTTAAGTTGGCACTGCTTGTGAGAAAGTGAAGCAGGTTGCATGCATCGGTTCCGAACAGGACAGGTGTGTCCTTTTTTTTTTTTTGAAAATAAAAAGCACAACTGATGAGAGAAAGCAAGAGGCTAAAAGTGCCTGGAAGGGACAAACATGTACTCAAGACTTGGGACAAACAATGTTCCAAATATAAATGGGAACACTGAGATCTAGAGGGCGAAATAAGCAGAAATGGAGGGAGACAAACGCGCAGGGAGGATCAACCAAATACCAGACAATTGTGTTCCAAAAACAGAACGGAGTGGGAACTCAGGAATTCCACAGCAGATACCGACCTCCGTACACCGCCCCTTCTCTGCTCTGCCTCCCTCTGTTCTCGAGCTCTTACGTCAGTCCCGACCCGTGGTGGCCTCCGGCATTCCCAAAACAGCTGGGTCAAATACAAACTTGCCAAACACACACAATAAGCTATAGGCTTGGGAACACTTCTTAGACTCGGCCCAGTTAGTACCTGGCGCATAACAAACACGGGATTCCCCTCCCTGTGCTCTAACAGGGACCGAGTTCCTGTGTGGGTGTATTGGAAATGTTTGGGTTGCATGGCGCTGGGAGTATTCTTCCTCTCATTGTAACGAAACACACATCACTATAAAGTCAAAAAATAAAATAAGCAGAGGAGTGGGAGAACGTAGGCCAAGAAGTCTGCGCAGCAGGCAGCAGGGTGTGTTTTTCCTCCTGCTAAGTGATGAGGTCAACACTTGGTCAATCCCATGATGCGTCATAGAGCAGGGAATCCCATGAAGGATAGACGGGGAGAGGACAGACAGAGAGGGTGTCTGTCTGACTGCCTGTGTTTGATTATTGGTTCCTAAGAGAGGATGTTAACATGTCTTGACAAGTCTACAATGAACAAAAATAACATAACATGACGCATTAAGGACGGAATTACGTGTTGCCAAAAGGCAAAATCATCTTTGTTTACATTTAGGATTCATGTGTTAATAGCAGCAGGTTGCTATCTTTTAAAATGCTACACCCAACTTCAAGGGTGTGTGCAAGAATGCACTCTGGTATTTCTGGAGCATTTCTGTGGTACCCCCCCATGGATGAGCCGCTATGCAGAGGAAAAGACAGCTGGAACGAGAATGCCGGGTGGCTCTTTGGCACCCTGTAGGACCACATTCAAAAAAGGTCTTGGGATGCAGGGGCTAAGAATAAGCCAGATACAGACCTGGGATGTAAATGGGATCGAATAAGGGGCAAAGTGAATCTCAGATCTTCCAATGGTCACTTTTTTACGCTCACTAGCACTGTCACTGTGACAGAATTTACCCTATAGTGATAGAGGATGTCTCAGTAGCGCAATATGTGTTATTACAACCATTCATTTTCCATGACCGCTTATCCTGTTGGCGGTCGCAGGGGGGGCTTGAGTCTATCCTAGCTGACGTTGTGCAAGAGGCGGGGTACACCCTGGACAGGTCGCCATACTATCGCAGAGCTAACACACAGAGACAGACAACCATTCACACTAACATTCATGCCTCTGGCCAATTTAGAGTCACCAGTTAACCTGCATGTCTTTGGACTGTGGGAGGAAGCTGGAGTACCCAGGGAAAACCCACGCTGACCCGGGGAGAACATGCGGACCCCGTGCAGAGAATCCTGGTAAGACCCGGTATATTTTGTTGTGGATTATAGTAGAAGAAGAAATGGGAGAAGAAGGGAGAGGCTGAGCAAAAAATAAGTACTGTCAAAAAAAACCTCTCACATATATATACTGCTGAGGATAAACTGAGGTTGTTTTGTTTTAAGGGTGCGGAGTGACACAGCCATCTCAGGAATTACGCAGCCGAGTGATTTCTATCTCTCCATCCCTCACGCCCTTTTCCTTTATCAGACAGCAGTGTTCCTCTGAAGTGACTAACAGAGCACACAGAGTCTCGGCAGCTGATTTCCAGACACACAGGCAGGACCATTGTGTCTTTGAGGAACAGCGAAAGTCGACTGTCAGTCATAACAGAACTTCCTCTCTTTGGCAAAAAGCACCCTGAGCGGTTAGTCACCGCTGTTCGCTTGTCCTCTTGCATTACAGCCACTCACACTGGATCTGAGTCGAAAGGCCTTTGCACACAGAGTTCTTATTTTTCATGCATTTTTTTTTTTTTTTAATCTGTCATCTGATAAAAAATTTTATGCACAGAATGATTTCACATTGAGTTTGATGCATGAGACAAAATGTATAGACACATGGAAACCAACTAGCTGCCCCTTAAATACATCTGTGCCCACATAAGGCCAATATTCAAAACACATGAGAGAGACAAAGGTATTAAACTTTCATTCTGGCTGTCTGTTTATGCACCGGCTACAAAAGAGAGCGGGGAGAAGAATAAAGCATGTCAGACATTGCGGCCTTGGCTGCTGTCATGGAATAATGCGCAGCCAGCTGAGTTTGTTTTCACGACACCTCCCATTCAAACACAAAGACAATCCTCATCGCTGGAATGTCTTTGCTGAGCGGCCAATATTTTGTCCCGACCCCACCTGCTGTCTGCCTCAGACGGCTGGAGATAGTTATCCCCGGGGAAATCCCTGCACTAGTGGCTTTCACGCACACACACAGAACTGCACAAATGTAACCTACATAGATACATCCACAGCTACACTGACCTCTGTGCAGCTTGTTACTACAGATGTTTTCTCAACCATGTGTCTGCAGCAGTCCCATGAGTTCGCAGGTCTCAATTTCAACCAAGCGACACAAGCGCTGATTAGCAATCTTCAACTGGAGAGAGGATCTAATAAGTGGTATCAGCTGCTGTTTAATTGGCATGAAAGCTTGCATACTTTGGGGCTTGGTCAGCACATGGTCCAGACTCTTCCCTGTTTAAGAAATCTTTTTTGCAAGTTCTCACTGCTTTGGTGTTTGCTCTGCAGCCAGTAGTCACATTGTAATACTAGGATAAATCAATACAGAGGTGTAGCAGTTTCTTTGGAATAAAGACAGGCAAAGGGAGATAAACTGTTTCCCAGGCATGCAAAATAACACTTATTTGATTTGACATGCAAATACTATGGGAGGTTTTGTGATGTGATTCAGGAGAGACAAATACTGGTTCACGTAAGCTGCAGCCGCTGCCTAGCAGATGAAGTCATTCCAGTGTCGAGCTGATCAGAGCTCCACAGTCAGATTAATGATTTACCTGTAGGAGGTCATCGCTGAGGACTTCTGTTTTCTCCGCTCTGTGGGTGAGAAAAGACAACAGAGGGCGCACAGATTAGCACTGACACACAACCACAGTAGATAAGGAGCTGTACTTAAACACACCGTGCAGTCACTGTGAAGATATTACATGACACTGCTCCTGAAAGACTGGTTTCCACGCTCAGCTTGAACACCAAAATAGTGACAGGTATCGACCCGGGCATCCGTGGGAATGTTTCAGAAGCGGGTGGGTCTCTTTAGTTTGTTACTATAGTAACAGGCAGGAAGCAAAACATGTCTCTCCTCAGACTCCAGCTGCATAAATGCCTCAACATGTGTCATGAAGTATGACAGATTTTAATTTTATCCAATAATAAACATCTCAAATGCTCTGTGAAGTGCACTGAAGGCATGTTCTGCTGCTCAACAACAACACTCCTTAAGCCACAGCTAGCAAGGCTCACGGTGTCGTGCACAGGGCAGCCGCACGGCCCTCCGCTGCCTGAGCCTATTAATAGTAAACTAATAGTTGGACTTGAAGAGGTCAGACAGATTAGATTCACTTAAAGGGAGAAGGCTGGGAAATACGGGCTCAGCTCATACTGCTTATCAACACCTTCGCACAGACTGTGGCTACTGAAGGAGGTGGGGGCAACACTGCAGTCAAGAGGGTCACTGACTTGACATAAGCTGAATGGTATATTTACTTACACTTTTAAGACAGTAATGTGGGAAAAAAATGTCTAGACTGCAGACAGATATTTAAACACCTGTTGTGTTGTTATTTTTCTGCAGGTACAAAGCAAAGACATCCAACTGCATCAATCATGCATCTGGGTAAGAGGGCAAAAATGTGTTCTATCGACCTGTTCATCAGAGAGTTAACGCACCAATCCAACTGTCACTCTAATTATACCGATTCTGTACCAATTAGGTCATGGATTGTTGTGGCTCTAAAAGCTGAGTCAACAGATCTCTGTCCATCCCAAACATGTATTCTACTGTCCCCAAGATGACAGGATGGCGTTACACATTGAACCCTGCTTTTAAGCCTGCGCAAAACTGATGTGAAACAACAGAAAGACATCGGTCGACAACAGTCAACAAGGCAAATACCGGCTGATACCGATGTTCAGTCAAAGAATGGGTGCACCCCTAATGAGTTTACTTATGTATCATATTTAAAAACACCAGAAGATGACCAAAAGTGCCTTCCAGTCGACGCAGATGGATTAGAATCTGACTCAGTGCATGATTAAAGAAATAAAAGGCATATAAAAGCCAACAACACCTAGTGTAATACTATAAAACTGTTACGCAGATGAAGACTGTGCAGGTATTGTTGTGTCTAACTAATGTGCAAACTTTTTCCAAGTACGAGTTGAGCCTTTAAACTGAAGTGACGTGTAGACAGTGGCTCGCCTGCCTTTTGGGTAACTGGAGCTCTAAACGAAGCCTGGGCCCTCCTCCAAAAACTGCTCTCTATGAACTATAGTAACCTCGTCACAGCTGCCTTCAATTACAACACGGAGGAAGGGAGCAGGGAGAAACAGAGAGAGACTAACAGAGAGGGGATGAGAGTTTGGGGGTTTGAAGGAAAGAAATACAAATATGGGGGGGGGGGAGTTAAAGATAAAGTGCCAAACCAGAATAATCTAGAGGCTGGGGATAAACGGAAAGATTTTCTCTGGAGGAGAGCCATAGCTGAGCTGGTGAGTGAGTGAGTGAGTGAGTGAGTGAGGACCTTTAACACACAGAAACCTACAGACAAGACTTCCAGCTAGGGGGGAAAAAATGGGAGCCACACACACATTACAATGCACACACACACATACAGAGCGTAATGATAAAGCCACAATATGGAATCCATGTTCTGGTGTTGTCTACACACTGCAGAGCTCTTCATGTGGTCCTGTCATTGAGTGTAATCTTAAAAACCAGTGTGTTCGTCAAGCAGACTTATCCTGTCATGAATAAATGCCTACGGATCATACATTGCCAGTGTATATTAATCATTCGGTATGTTTATCCACCTTACTCCTATCCCCCATGATACCTTGTGTGTTTAATGGGCATGACTTCTGGTGCTGAACCCGAGTCGGCGTTTTCCAGTGGTAATGGTTAGCTAATCCTCTGTCATAGAACGATTGGGAAATAAAACATGTGGAACTATTACACCTCAGATATCATCATTTCATCACCTCTGCTCACCTCATTAGTTGTTTCCTTTTGAACCAAGCATGTTAGCTATTACCTTGCCTTGCTACATTAACATACAGTCAGGTCCATAATTATTTGGACAATGATACAGTTGTCATCATTTTGGCTCTGTACACCACCACAATGGGTTTTAAATGAAACAATGAATACCTGCTTAAAGTGCAGACTCTCAGCTTTCATTTAAGGCTTTTTTCAAAAATGTAGTATGAACCGTGTAGGAATTACAACCATTTCTTCACACAGTCCCCCGACTTTAAGGGCTCATAAGTATTTGGACAAACTAACATAATCATCAATTAAACAGTCAGTTTTAATACTTGGTTGCAAATCCTTTACAGTCAATGACTGCCTGAAGTGTTGGACACATAGGCATCATCAGATGCTGGGTTTCTTCCCTGGTGATGCTCTGCCAGCCCTTTACTGCAGCCGTCTGCACTTCCTGCTTGTGTTTTGGGTGTTTTGCCCTCAGTTTTGGCTTCAGCAAGAGAAACGCATGCTCAGTTGGATTCAGGTCAGATGATATGACTTGGCCGTTGCAGAACATTCCACTTCTTTGCCTTAAAAATGTCTTTGGTTGCTTTTGCAGTATGCTTCAGGTCAATGTCCATCTGCACTAGAGAGCATTGTCCAATGAGTTTTGAAGCATTTGGTTGAATCTGAGCAGATAATGGTGCCCCAAACACTTTAGCTTTCATCCCGCTTCTCAGCAGTCACATCATCAATAAATACAAGAGAACCAGTTCCACTGGCAGCCATACATGGCCATGACATAACAGTACCTCCACCATGCTTCACTGATGAGGTGGTGTGCGTTGGATCATGAGCAGTTCCTTCCCTTCTTCCTTCTCTTGTCTTCCCATCATTCTGTTAGTTGATCTTTGTTTTATCTGTCCATAGTATGCTGTTCCACAACTGTACAGGCTTTTTAGATGGTTTTTGACAAACTCTAATCTGGCCTTCCATTTTTAAGGCTAACCAATGGTTTGCATCTTGTGATAAACCCTCTGTATTTATTCTAGTGAAGTCTTGTCATGCTTACAAGAGCAGCAGGATGAAAGCTGAAGTGTTTGGGGCACCATTATCTGCTCAGATTCAATTAAATGCTTCAAAACTCATTGGATGATGCTTCACAGTGCAGATGGACATTGACCTGAAGCATATTGCAAAAGCAACCAAAGACATTTTTAAGGCAAAGAAGTGGAATGTTCTGCAACGGCCAAGTCATATCATTTGACCTGAATCCAACTGAGCATGCGTTTCTCTTGCTGAAGCCAAAACTGAGGGCAAAACACCCAAAACACAAGCAGGAAGTGCAGACGGCTGCAGTAAAGGACTGGCAGAGCATCACCAGGGAAGAAACCCAGCATCTGATGATGTCTATGGGTCCAACACTTCAGGCAGTCATTGACTGTAAAGGATTTGCAACCAAGTATTAAAACTGACTGTTTAATTGATGATTATGTTAGTTTGTCCAAATACTTATGAGCCCTTAAAGTTGGGGGACTGTGTGAAGAAATGGTTGTAATTCCTACACGGTTCATACTACATTTTTGAAAAAAGCCTTAAATGAAAGCTGAGAGTCTGCACTTTAAGCAGGTATTCATTGTTTCATTTAAAACCCATTGTGGTGGTGTACAGAGCCAAAATGACGACAACTGTATCATTGTCCAAATAATTATGGACCTGACTGTACATTGCTCCACTTAACATGGCCCGAGCGAGCAAACGGTAAGCATCTGCTCCTTCTCAAAGATGATTTATGATTTCTCATGACTCATAAACAGACACTGACACATTTGGCAAACATTTAACATAATTAGGTCCTATTTTTAGCTCCATGTTGAGTGAGTAAATGTGGGGTTTCCAGAAAATGCTCCACTCATCTGCCTTTAAGGACGCAGTTTATAACTGCAGTTTTATTAAATCAGATTTTTTTTAATGGAATAAATGCCAAATTTAGTAGCAGACTTCAGCAATAGCTGAAAAATAAATATCTTTATGCATTCATTTTATATGATATGAAAGAAATACAGAAAATCAGTAACACATTCTCAGACCAGATGACTAAACACGTAGGTTTGTCACATAATTCAAGGTATGTTGCCGGTGTAACAGGCATTTTTCTAAAATAGGTTGAGAATGCAGTCAGACAGGGAAAGACCGGAATATCATACACTGACATTGAGTGGCAGGCCTGTCATTCTCTTCTGCAAATTCTGATTGAATACCTCCCCGCTCCCAAAACTCTTTGTTTTGGTTGGTATTATGTGGTTGCTATTGACTAGAGTGAATCTAGGACTTCCAAATACAATAGGTCTAAATTAGACTGCACAACACTCTACTAGTAAGAAGATTGCTGTTGTTAGATATGGCATCAAAATAAAATATATATTGCAACTCTATACATTCCGTCACCTCTCTCAACTGAAGTGCAGGAGGTGACTGCTCAAATATTTGCGGTTTGTTGACCCCACTTTGGCTACCACTAAGCCACAGAACAGTGTGCCTGTAGCTGACATTGCTATGTTGTGGCAAATAAACTACCTTACCAAACCAGATAAACTTAAAGTGATGTGTGGCATATTAGATTTTCCCTCAGCAATCTGGTCAGCTCAGGTGGTCAGCTCTGGGCTGTTTGTCTCATTGTGACGTGCCGCTCTGATTACTTACTTCAAAGTGAACGCATAATATGATCAATCAATCATTGTCATCTGCTGAGCTGAATCAGAGTTAAACAAACAAGATGAAGCATGTTAATTATTGAGCTTTAGCTGGGATTCAGACCAAAAACAGCCTTGTGTTATAACAGTGTTAGTGG